CCCCACCCCCAACCGGATAACAGCAGTGTCTAAGGCCCACACTCCCCCACACACCACACACAACCCACTCACACTCACGATCACACCCGTGTTGGCCAAGGACCCTGAGGTTTCAAGCAAGTGGACTGTCATCACCCCTGGTTGGGTAGCTTAAACAAGCTGATTTTTTTTTTTTTTTTTTTTTTTCCCCCCTGGGTGGCCAGCTTTATTTCTGCAGGTCGTCTTTTCAGTAGTTTGCAGGCAATGAGATGCTGGGCCAGCGCCCCATTGTTCAGGATCACGGTCAGGCGAGCTCAGAATGACTTAGACCCTTTTACGCCTGGGCTGCAATCATTGGCATGAAGGTTGTGCCTTCGCTTAGGACCTGTGCGGTATTCCACACAGGCATGCCCTTTCACTCTGGGGCCCTGCCATATTTCCACAGGCCGGGCCTGCTGCACTTAGGACCCTGTGGTATTTCACATAGGCGGGCCCTTCACTCTGGGCCCTGCCATATTTTCGCAGCCCGGGCCTTCACTTAGGGCCCCGCCGCAGTGGCATGCGGGAGGCCCTCACGCTCCGACCTTCCCACCCCCTTGGGTTTGAATTGTGAAGTGCTCTCTTTTCTTTGACCCCCCTTTTGGAACTTGCCCCAAGTTCCGTCCTGGTGCCAAGTCCCGTCCTGGTGCCATTTGTGTCAATTCTCCCCCCCCGCCCCCTCCCCCCGGCGGGACTGTACTAAGCCATTGATCTCCACTCGGACCAGGATGATATCTGAACCAAACGCTGAACTCTTAACTTAGAACCGAGCTCGGAACTGTAACTGTAGACTGTAAAGCGTCCGCCGATCTTCACTTGGATCAACGGTAACTGTAGACTGTAAAGCGTCCGCCGATCTTCACTTGGATCAACGGTAACTGTAGACTGTAAAGCATCCGTCGATCTTTTGCGAACTGCGACTTAGACTATGAAGCACTGGCTGCCGTCCATGTAGCCAGTGCTTCCAATGCTGCTAGTTTTCTAGAGGGCAACTTCTTAGACATGTACTCTTAACTCTGAACTCTACCTTAGTTGGGAGGCTTCTAAGTGTCTCTCCCTTGTAGATAGTGCTTCCCGATGCTGCTAGTTTTTTAGAAGGCAGCTTCTTAGACGGGTACTGATTAGGACTTGGCTTTTGACCCTCTTGCTGTTGCAATACTGTGCTTATTCAGAATTGACTTGCATCAATTGTCAAAACGAAAAGCTTATCAGAGTCAGCTATCTCTAGAACAGCGTTGTCATGAGAGCGTCGTCTAATGTGTGAAGGTTAGCTCGCACTCCTCACCCCATTCCCAAGGGGTTTAGCGATACTATTATGTATAGTTCCCAAGGGGTTTAGCGATACTATTATGTATAGTTCCCAAGGGTTTTAGCGATACTATTATGTATAGTTCCCAAGGGGTTTAGCAATACTATTATGTGTAGTTCCCAAGGGGTTCAGCGAGACTATCATGTATAGTTCTGAATAGTTATGAATGAGCTGCATATAGCATCCGACCAATCCCTGGAAGTATGTTTTAGCTCAAAAAGACATTTTGAGGTCTAGGTGGAGGAATCCTTAACGTCGCAACTTTCTTATCTTCAAGCTTAATACAGGATCTTAGTGTGATCTATAACATTCAGAAGCATTTTGGTCTTGTACTTAGGAGAGAAAAAAAAAACAAGGCCATCTCGAATTCTGTGAGCACGCGAATGCACACTGGCCTTCGGCCCCTCTCCATTGTTCATCTCCAATTTCCGTTTTTTCTTCCAGTTCATGTTGGCGTTGTCTATAAGCAGCCCAAGCAAAGTCCTCAAGTTACTGCCGCAATCTAACTACTGCCTTTCCTCGAACATAACGGACCCTGGTAATGAATGTATGGAAGCGATCTTTCCGGTCCGGTACAGCCATAATGAGGGTGCGTTGTGTTCGGGGGAAGATGGTAGACGTGAAGTTCACTTTAGGGCCTCCCACACTTCCTGTCCCGTTTGGGGCCGAACAAATACAAAGGGGTTTTTACCAGGGGGGGTATTTAATATTTATAACTTTTCCCAAACAAGAGTGCCGTCGATGAGGGGCACATTGGTGTTTCCAACTTGTGCATAATGCAGTTAGTGATGGCGTGATTAATGAGCATAGTGTAGTCCATGATGGCCACGTGTTTTATTATTATACTCTAATTAAACCAACAGTACTTTTGACCCTTCCCCTGCTGAGGCTGGAAATGCCCTGCACACCCCAAAAAAAAGAAGAAAACAAACCAGTGGGTCACTTCTTTTGGCTGGCACCGCCAGCCATTTTGCTCAGGTAGGACGACCCCCGAAACTTGCGGCGTGGATGCGCTCGCATCCCAAAAAAATGGCTGGGAAACGTACTAGTGGTCTGATGAGCATAGTGTAATGAGCGATGGGCACATGTGCGTTTTCCAACTGTGCATAGTGTGTGGGTAATGATGGCCACGCCTGCATTTTCCAGCTGTCCATTGTATAGTATATGATGGCCCCATGTGTGCTTTCCAACTGTGTCAGGTCCATCAGTCTCTGTGAAAATCAACGGCGCGGAGGATGTTCATCGCAGGTTGAGCGGCTGGCGAGCAGCCAAGATGACAACCACACAATCGAGTTATTGGCTTCTGGCACAGCCTTGCCTCTTTTCGGATGACACGTTGCACAGCCTCTTCATCAGTGATGAGATGCTGGCACAGCATCTTGGGTGACATTGGCACAGCATCTCGGGTGACATGTGGCACAGCATCTCCGGTGACATGTGGCACAGCATCTCGGGTGATTTGAACCGGCAACTTCTGGTGTGACAGACCCTCCTGACCTCATCCGGCTGTGGGCTATCTTGATTGATTGAATGGCGGTGTGACTCCGTCTTGTGCATTTTCCATGCCTCGTTGCTTTCAATTTGACACATGGCACAGCCTCTTGATCAGGGATGAGGTGAGATGCTGGCGTTTCGGGGGTTTCGGAACCTGCGACTTCTGACGTGCCTGACCTCATCCAGCTGTGGGCTATCTCGATTGACGGAATGATGGCGTGACTGGAGGTGCTGTGCATGTACTGTAACAGTTGATCTGGTGCAACTTTGCCCTTCTTGATGGGATCCTTCCTTGGGGTTGTCCCGGCGAGATGATGGCAGGGCGCGGTGTAGCACCTTCACCCCAATAGAACACAGAGTCATTATAACGGTACTTGGGGGCCAACTTTCAGTCTAGATGCAGTGACAATGACTGTGCTACATTCTTTTCGGGTGAAGACGATATTCTTGCCGAAATGGCAGCTGGCGTATTGCCCCTCCTAGTGCGCGTTCCGAGGAGGTGGTGTGGGGTGCGAGGAGGATATGCTTGCTGTGAACGTATGTACGATAAGGGGGGTTGTCAAGATAAGGGGGGCCCTTATTTGACGAGGTCGCGATGGCTTACGAGGTTGGGGCCTTGTCAAATTCTGGCCGAAGTAGGACCCCTCCTTTAAGGAAGGCCTATCAACTGGAATATGTGGCAGGGGCGACCCCAACGGTGCCCAAGAGGGGGGCTATAAGGTGCGCATCGGTTTCTCTTGGCGGTGACGAAGAATCAGTGACGAAAATATACCTTGGGACAGATGGGGGTCACGTGCTTCAATACAACTATAATCACGTGGATACGGGAGCGTATGTAGAGTCCTTACCAGGAGCGGCAATCACGGGGAGTATCAGTAGTGCCAGTGGATTTGAAGTGGGATTGGAAAATTCCAGTGCAGGAAACTTTCTCACTCGTTCAGCGAATGCGAGCTTCACAAATACTCTGACCTCGAATGTAACACCTATATCTAGCAGCGCGCCGAGCCCACGTACAGCTCCTGGTGGAAGTCAGATTGGAGGACGGAGTGTCTCTCTACCCCCTCTTGACGACTTTGACGCTCAGGAGGAGGGTGGGGATCCTGCAGGTGAAGGGGGGGAATGGGTAGGGGATAAGGGAAACTCTTCTCCGGTGCCCAGTGTGTCTTGGTTGACGCTTCCTGAGCAGTTCCTTAAGACGGGCAGAGGTCACAGCGTTGATGGAGGAAGAGAGGTGCAAACAAGGCTCCCTGCTAAACTTGTTGCTAGCAGAGTGGTCACGAAGGCTGGAGTCAGAAGTATGTGCGTGCTGAGAGCAGTAGGGCGATTAGTCGTTGTTACACTGGATGGCCATGTGGCAGTGGTGGACGAGGACACGTTGGAGAATGGTGTGTGGTTGAGTCAGGCTAAGGGCACCGTAGCAATCGCAAAGGACCTATTGAGAGGGAGGAAGCATGCAAGGAGGGCGACGGTCGACGGAGCACGAGGTCGAGCGGGAGATGGAGTGGGGAAGGATGGGAGAATGCTCCCTGGGAGATCGGCCACGTGTCGCTTTGTTGTGGCGTGCCAGAAGAAGCTGGTCTTTTTCGAAAGCCGTCAGAGTGCCGGATGGGTTGCTGGAGGAGTGGATAGCCGGGCTTCCCGAGGAGCCACTAGTTGGACACTTAGCGATGGATCCCTCTCTGTCTTACAGGAGATGAGCTGCTTCGATGGAGTTGTGGACTTGCTTTGGATGGGGGAATCACTATTTCTGAGCAACCGGAGAGGCTACCTAATCTACCGGCTGAGAGAGGGTGGCGGTCTGTTGCCACTCTTCTCTCTCCCTGCGGATTGCCAGGATCAACCGCTGATGAAGGCGATCTCTAGCATGGGGGAAGCTGTATTGACAACGGAGAAGATTGGAGTGCAGGTGGATGCAAGAGGCCAGCCAACGGGTACAAGCCTGCTGTTTGATTCGTCTCCAAGTTCTCTTGGACAAAGCCCGCCCTTTCTCATGGCTGTCATTGGTGGCAATAGTGTTGATGTCTACAATCGCAGGACTGGCGCAAAAGTGCAGAGGCTGGATTTGCCAAATGGACTGCTGGGGGAGAAAAAAAAGGGATCATCATCATCTTCTTCGTCATCGGGACTGGGATGGATGCTGGCGAATGACGACAATGGGAGCTGCGTGATTGCCTTCAATGAGACGCAGGTGTGGTATGCGCGTCCTGTGGCTCTGGATGAGCAACTGAAGGAGCTTCTTCGGCGAAAGGAGTATGCCGAGGCAGTGACACTGGCTGAAGAATCAGTCTCGGAAGCCCCTGTAAACACCAGTGGCAGATCCGAAAGGGGAGGCGGAGGGGATGGCCTTTCGAGATTGGCCATTGTTCAGGCGGAGGTGGCATTCCTGCAGTTTTTTGACCTGTGCTTTGGCAAAGCAGTGGACATGCTATTGCATTGCTCCCTTGTAGAGCCCCCGGAACTTTTTCCGTTCTTCCCTCAACACACTGCAAGATGGCACCAAAGTGTTCCTCGGAAGCGGTACTGGAGTTTGCACCCCCCACCCCAGCCCATAGAAGAGGTAGTAAGGAAGGGTTTATCAGCCATAGAAAACGGAATTCTTGGCCATCCTGATGATGACGGCACGGTACTGATGGACTACGATGTGGGAAACCACGCGTTAGACGTGGAGGAACAGTATGTGCTGAAGGCGAAGCGGGCAGTTGCACAGTATTTGAAGGCTTCAAGGCCAAAGGTCACTGCTTTGGTGGAGAAAGAGGGAACTGACACTCTTCTCGCCAGGCTGTACATTGATGTGGGAATGCGGGAGGAGATGGAGGTTTTTGTCTCGACACCAAATTCGTGTGTTGTGGAAGAACTTGAAATCCCATTACGTCAGGCACAGTGGTTTTGCGCATTGGCACTCCTATTTGAGAGCCGTGGGTTGGTTCACGAGTCTTTGCAGATCTGGGATGACTTGGGCAATGGGAGATGCAGGGAGGCACCCTATGGTGAGAAAGATTCAAGTTTCCCCTCCTTTCTCAATCCCACTGGAGACGGGTTCGCTACTGAGGGGAAATTTAGAGAGGGGATGGGGTCAGCACTGGAGGTGGCACAGCGAGCAGTCGGGGAGGCTTCTCGTATACTGCAGAGTCTATCCGATGTCACAGCAGTGCTGAAGCATGGAGAGTGGATTCTGCGGGAGGATCCCGCTCTGGCATTTGCAGTCTTCACTTCGAAGCAGCGCAAGAAGCCGGTTCCCGCAGATGACATTTTGCAGCTGCTTCGGAAAAGCAGGAATGATCAGGTGTATCAATGGTATTTGCAGCATGTTGTCATGGTCGAGGGAAGCATGGATGGGCATCTCCACACCGAGCTTGCAATAATGCTAGCAGGTGAGGCTTTGCAGGAATCGATGAGCGCAGAAGACGAAGGAGAGATTATTCCTTTGCCTGCAGACAGCGTGGTTCATTATCAGAAGGACAGCGAGAATGCCGTAACATCGCACAGTAATGGTAACCGCAGTGCAGGAGGGCAGCATGGTGGTTATAAGGGATTGAAGAACTGGGTCAAGAACAGCAGGGGCGGAAATGGTGTGGGCGCAGTCGCAGCTGCTGAAGTACCTGGAGATGACTGGTTCGGTCAAGGTAGAAGAAGACAGCTACCAAACGCTGAACTTGGTTTTGAGATGGAAGAGAGTAACGTGGTAAAAGGCCTTGGAAAGAGCTATGCACCATCACGGTCACATCCAAGGATGGTGGTTAATGGTGTTGTGAAGAACAATCTACAGCTTCAGAATCTACGAAAGGGCAAAGACCTCATTGCACCCCTGGGGGGCACTGCACAGGATGGTGACTTGGGATCCACTACTTCATCAATGCTTGATGGGGTGCTGGCTCGGGATGAGCAGCGAATGAATCAAGTTATAACTTGGGAAGGAGGGAAAAGCAGTCGGGACAGAAAGCGTGGGCCTCGGGAATGGCAGCATGAAATTGAAGAGAGACCAGAACGGCAGTGCAGTGAGGGATGGACACGGGAGGAAAACGGAAAGGGTGGAGACACAGCACCCGCAGGTGAGGCTGGGAAGGGTTTTCCTGCCGAGGAAGATGGGTTTGGAGATGATGGGTTGGCCTTGGTATCTGAGAAAAGGCAGCAACTGCAGGCATTCTTAAAGTTCTCCGACAGGTATGAGATAGAAGCAGTCCTGTCCTTCATTGCGGACACAAACCTTTGGCAAGAGCAGGTAATTCTTAACAGCAAGCAAGGAAATCACACAGCTGCATTGCGTGTCCTTGCACTGAAACTCAGCGATCTCGAGGAGGCTGAACGGTACTGTGGACAGTATGGTGGACCAGAAACATACAAAGAGTTGTTTGAGATGTATCTCCACCCGGGGGACGGTCGGCCGCCGTTGTTTCCTGCCGCTATTGGATTACTCAACCTGCATGGCGATTACTTGAATCCCATCCAAGTTTTGGAGGCGTTGTCTGATGATTTGCCACTTCACGGAGCAGTGGACGTGATTTCCTGGATAATGCAGGAGCGCGTGCATCGGCAGCGTTTGGGGCAGGTTGTAAAAGAGTTGAACTGCTCTAAAAACCTGTTAGCGAACGTAGCTCTTGTCCAGCAGAGGGCACGCTATGTGGCTATGAACGACGAGCGGGCGTGCTGGTCGTGTCATGCTCGCATTGGCACGAAGCTTTTCGCTTTGCATCCCAATCATGATAATGCTATTGTCTGCTATCAGTGTTTCCGCACGACTGCATAGAAGACGATAACATAATTGGCTGGCATAGAAGACTCCACTTGTGTTGCGTGCAGTGTGGGGAAGTTTGGTTGCAAGCTTGATGATTCAGCGCTGGCTGTGAAGTGCACAGTTTGGGAACAGAGTTTGATGTTCTGGTGTGCTTGTCTGTGGGAAAGCCCAGGTGCTGCAGTCTGAAGGGGGGGGGCGCGCTTCAAATCTTTTTCTAAAAGTGTTGTGTATGTGACGTGTATATGAGCTGCTTTTTCTGTGTGGTTTGACCACTCAGCCGCTACAAATCGTTGTTGCTCCACCACCAGCCTGTTCTTTGCTTTTCCGACTGCAGAATCTGGACAAGTTTTCTTTGCTGCTTATATGATGCAAGGAGTTGAATGGCTGGAGGGATCTCTCTGTCCTTAATTTTCTGTGAAGTGATAGCTCCATTTGGGTTTTTCAAACTCCCTGATCCAATTCAGTCATTATGATACCAAAAATGATTGTGCAGTCGTCCAAGAATCCACACCTCCTTCACACCGCTCTGTTTCTTTAATGCATCATCACGCAATTCGTCACACACAACAGACAAGCTTTACACGCTTTATAGGACATGCGAACTCGTTAAAATCCCTCCGAAAACCCGAAATTATTAACAATAGGTCTTCGGTGCGCAAGCGGCTATGGCCGTTGTGAACAGCTCAAGCGGTTATGGTCGCTGTGAATAGCAAACAGACAGGTATGGCTTTCTCCCCCTGTCCCTCTCTCTCTCTCTCTCTCTCTCTCTCTCTCTCTCTCTCTCTCTCTCTCTCTCTCTCTTCTACACTACCCACAAGCCTCGCTGTTCTTCTCTGAATGCCTTCCTCTCTCTTTCTTACATCTTCTCTCTGCTACTGGCTATGGCGCATGGTGCTGTTGACGACTACTAACACTGCTCTCACTTCCTTTATGCGCGGCTGGTTGCACAACAATGCAGCAGCACTTCTGCGGAAAAAAAGACAAACGCGCATGGAACTGTGTTGACGCTGCTTGCCACCACCCCTTTTGTACCGCTGCGGTTTCCAAAATTAGACTTGTGTCCCTTTCCTACCTTCGCCACGGCTGGCCTCAATGTCTTGAACCGTTGTAGGACTTTCCTGGGACTCAGCTTCAACTGATTGGGACTGACAGACTACTGGTACCTAACCACCGATTCGTACGGGCTTCGGGGCCTACCGGTTTCTGTACGGCCTACTAGTATGATATCCACGGGAATCCTATTACGGTCTACCAGTGGGGTGTATAATACAAAGGGAAATTGGGACTTGGTACCAGGAGCGGACCACGAGACACGTGAGTCCTTCCAATCGCGATGAAAGGAAGCAACGAGGAAAGTTGGTTGTACTGAAGGTCGATGACAACATGAAGCAATGAGGGAAGTGCAGAGAAGACGCAGACGACATGTGTCCCTGGAAACAGGCCCCGTTTGCACACGCCAATGGACCCTTTATAGGTGAACAAGCATCGGTATCGAAGAGGAGGGTTGTGACGACGGAAGACAAGACTGGCTGAGGCAAACCAGGGCCAGAGACGATAATCAGCAGGTGGTGGCTGACTTGGAGCTGAAGTGCATGAGAATGGATAGAGAGGAGAGCATGCAGAGAGGGCTCCAAAAGGTGGAAAAAAATTACTCGGAGGTGACGTGCATGAAAGCAGTGAAGGATTTAGAGAAGAGCATACAGAGAGGGTCCTGAAGCTGGAAGACAACGCAAGCAGGTTGGAGGTAGAGATGGCAGCAATGGAAGAAGGGAATCGAGGGTCAAAGCCAAAGATGAGTAAGCGTTACAGACTTGGAGGATACCAGACACCGGCCAATAAATTTTGCCCAAGTCGTAGCGGAAGGTTATGGTGAAGTCTCAGAAAGAGTTTGAGTTTGCGACGATCCAAGCTGTACAGACGGAGGATAGATTGAGTGAAAGATCAGAGACAAATAAGGTACGAGTTTTACTCGAGCGTCCTGACAACTAAGTTCTATGGTGCCATGGTGGCAAGCTTGTTGTGAAAGGCGGGACGGAGCTGTGGGGACATTGCTGAATCATCCTCATTGGTCACACTGTTGTCAGAATTGCTGTTGCTGCATACAAGGCAAAGTATGTGTGTGGTCTTTTCATCACACCAAGGTAGAGGCCAAGGTGCTGAACAGGCTTTTGCGAATGCGGCGGTAAAATGGTTGTTTTGAAATTACCTGTTGGTCGTCCGTGAATAAGGACAATCATCCGGTTTCTTGAGTCGATGGCAAAAGTGGAAGTGCCTGATGTGCGAGCTCGTCACAATTGGGGCTGCGTGAATGGAATGATTGAGTTTGCATGTACAGGAAAGCTTGAAAGTGGAGTGAGTCTCGGTGTCCCATGCTCGCTTCCTTCCTTGGCAATGCTGGCAGTGGGGTTGCTTCGGCCATGTGCCGCCTTCGTTGTTTTCCAATCCATCAGCGGCTGATGATGTTGTGAAGTGAGTAATAATCTCTGTGTGCAGAAAAAAACTTTTTTTTTCTGCCCAAGGTCAACTGAGATTGGCCGAGCTCTGCTTTCACTGGAGTGCAAAGGGAAGTGCAAACATCAGGAAGGCTCACATCCGTGTTCCTGACAGGTAAGTCTGAGCAAATTACCTCTTGCTTCTTCTTTCGATATCGGGTTTCAAATTTCAATGAGAAGATTAAATCTGATTATGTTGCCGCTTCCTTCGTTTGGTGTTGGATTGTCAAAACATAGTTGCTGTTAGTATTCTACTATTCTCGTTTCGGAGTTGAGGACTGCTAAGTTGTGGAATTTGTCAGGGAGGAACTGCAGATGTCTTACAAGATAGAGCATGCAGCCCCTCTGTAGGACCCCATAGCTGGGGGTTGAGATGTGTATTTGGGTTGGGACTTGGTGAGATGGAGCTGAGTCGTCTCACACTTACATGTCAGTCTTATATGTCGTCCACATTCCTTCTTGGCATGCCACACAACCTAATTGCTACTGTCTTAACCCCAAAAATTTGTACGTGCGTTGGATGCGAATACAACGTACATGGGGTACGTCGCATTCGAATGCAACATACCTACATTAATTATACAACGAGTTTTAGACTTTTAGTGCACAACTTTGCAGGAGCCGGTAATACCACCGTCCTTTTCTGAAATTTGGCTGGGAATTTCGCAAAGACCCTCAGGCAAAAGTTGTTTGTATTGAAATTTCGTACAGCATCGTTTTTTTTTTTTTTTGATTTTTTTGGATTTTTGAAGAATTGAAATTCTAAAGATGTAAGAAAACCGGATTATCAGAAAATAGAATGTCCCTGCCATAAATGTATAAGCCATTTAAATGGCAGATAGATGTATCGATGGACGGTTAGGGTGTTAGATTACTAGGTATAGGAATTGTGGTTATTGTTGCAAGCTGACAGCAGTTGATTTGTGCTGGTGTTAGGAGACACCAGGACCGGGGCCCCTTTTCGAACAGGTCGATTTTTGCTCTCTGCTGTGGTTGGGATGGCCGGCGAGCCTGGCTCATCCCTGTGGGCCACGGCGATTGATGTGAGGGACGCTAGGCCCGGTTCCCAGCTTGCAATGAAAACTCCCGATCTTTAAAAAAAAAAAAAAAATGGGAGGAATGTCACTGCCATGAAAAAAAAATATTTTTATTCTCGTTTATTTTTTTTCTCGAATTTGGTTGTGAATTTTGACATGACCCTGAGGCAAAAGTTGTTTGTATTGCCATGCTGTACGACTTTTTTTTTTCCGGAACTTCCTGAGTTTTTTGGAAAATCAAAATTTCCAAAAATTTGAATACAACGTACATACGTTGTACTCGAATGCAACGTACGTACGTTATATTCGATGGTACGTTCTACTTAAAAATCATCAGCGATTTTTTAGGAGTGGTTTCTCAGAGGTGAATTGAATAAGACAATAGCAGCAGCATGCAGATTGTCTGACGAAAAGGCGGGTTTAATATGATGTGACAGGTTTAATATGATGTGACAGGTCTCAACGGGGTGGTGCCGTGTGTGTGGCACAAAGTTGCTTTTCAGGATAAGTCTCAGTAGTTTTCCTCTCGTTCGACGTGCACTGAATGGATTGCTGTGGGGATTGAACAAGGTTCAGTTATTTTCCTCGAGTTCGACGTGCACTAGATGGATTGCTTGGCATCATCGGATCTGCTCTGCACACCACTTTGGAGAGCTGTACTGCTGGGCCAAGTTGTCTTGTCACCGTGGGAGGGTCACGATCTCAGAACTTATGACGTCAGATGGTACTCACACGGGGATGAAATGGATGGCAGTAATGGAATGAATGAGGAGAGTCCTTGATCTGGACCACGGGTTCGGAGAGCCGCTGCTGCTGTTCGATTGTAAGTTCTTTTGGACAAAGCCCGCCCTTTCTCATGGCTGTCGTTGGTGGCAATAGTGTTGATGTCTACAATCAAAGGAGTGGTGCGAAAGTGCAGAGGTGGGATTGGCCAAACGGGCTGGCGGCAGGGGTGGGGGACTTCAAGGAACCCCACATGGCGCAACCATGTGGCTTGATCGTTTTGTTCATTTTCTCCTTTTCGTCGTTTTCTTGTTTTGTGTGCGTGTGAGAGATAGAAGGGGGAGCGGGGGCGAGGGGGAAGGGGAGGAGCAGGAAATGGTGGTTTTGTTTCTCTCTACTTCCTGACTCTGATTTGGGAAGGGAGCATAGGCAGGGCAACATCGTGAAGAAGTGGAGCCGGACATGATGGTGGGACATGATGATGGTGGATGACCAGGGATCGTAATGCAGTGGGGAGGGAGAGGGAGCCGTGGGGGAGGCGGTGTCGAGCGCATCGGCTCCCACCTTTTCGCAAAGTGCGGGAGGTCTCCCGGCCATCCCTCTTTTTAGCCTACTTAGGCCCTGAATCGCGCGGCTGCTAAGCCGCGCATCATTATTTTAGGTAGGATAGGTCTAGCTTACCATTTCCACATCCGCACCGTCTAAACTGAAGTTCAAAAAAAGTTTCAGTCTCTTGGTCATAGGTCAGTCTGAATGAACTTTTGGCAAACATCAGTCTCATCAAGTCTTTCAATTCAACAAAAAAGTCGAACATTGTCCGACGTTTAAAATCCCCGGCAAATGCCCTTGTCGGGGCTTGTCAGGGTATTTGCCCCGACGGCGGATCAAGGGAAAAGGAAGATGGGTGTGGCAGTTGGGGATTTGAGGTCAGGGCAAATGAGAAGTGCAGCCATTGTGGGAAGCTGGGATCAGGGGAAAGGAGGATGGGTGCACCATTTGAGGGAAGGGTGGGGTAAAGGCTTGCCACGTGTCTCAGTTGTCTTTTTCGTTTTCTTTTTTGTATTTGTTTTTGTGTGTGAGCCTAGGGGGAGTCGGGGATGTGGGGGTTAAAGGCGCAAAATCGCGGCATGTAGCTACCCATGTGGCGCGATGTTTTTTTTTTGGTTTCCTTTCTTTGTTTGTTGTCTTTTGTTAAAGGCTCAAAATCCCGCCATGGAGAGAGAGAGAGAGAGAGAGAGAGAGAGAGAGAGAGAGAGAGAGAGAGAGAGAGAGAGAGAGAGAGAGAGAGAGAGAGAGAGAGATTGCATCGGGCAGTTCCTGTCTTATTTGTTTTTGCGAGCGAAGCCGCAACAGGTCATCTAGTTGAGAATGATACGTGCAATTGCCAGTCATGATTATGAATGATTATTGAATATTCTGATTTGTGAGGTTGGCAACAATTCTGGGCGATTCTCTTGAGACTCAGTATTTGCGTTTTTCTTTTGAAATATTTTTATCCAATATTCTGATTTCCGAAAATTTCCGGAGTCCTTGATTGTCCATTTTGCTGGCATAGAACATCGAGGTGGGCTTGAATATCTGCTAAGCTTCTCTCTCTGTGTCGGTTACAATCGATTTAGGATCGAAGGTCAAACAAGAAAGAGCCATATCCATTTGCCTTATATGTCCATGTGGAGAGAGAGAGAGAGAGAGAGAGAGAGAGAGAGAGAGAGAGAGAGAGAGAGAGAGAGAGAGAGAGAGAGAGAGAGGCTAAGTTTGGTGGTATGGTTTGTCGCCCTTTGGCAGATTGAAGTGCCCAAGGCAGTTGGAGGGACAGAGGTGGGTCTGGCAAGAGAGGCTATCAGCCTGAGGTGAGCAGATGATACTTGGTGCTTGGAATTCAGGATTGCAATGGTGCAAAGGTCTCCCAGACACAAAAGAGTAGTCGCTTCCATTGAGTGTGGCTTGCACCTGTTGTTCGTAGAGGGGGGTGTGGGAAAGGTGTGTTGCAAGGAAAATGAGCAATAGCAAAATGACAGAATTCCTGATTGCGAAATCACATTGAAACCCAGATAGTCAAAAGCTGTTCAGAAAGCGAAATTCACTGATATCACACCGAAGGAGAACCAAATTCACTGATATCACACCGAAGGAGAACCAAAGCAGCGATCTCAATTGTCAATGAAAGCATACACTCGCCACCACCAACAATGCCTTTGAATGCTCTGCCTCCTACTTGGCGCTCAACGCTCAGACTACAATCACACAGCTACTAAACTAGCCTATCCTAGTGACGAAGCAGCCAGTTGATGCCAGCAGCAGCAACCCAAGTACATGCGGATGTCGACCTTGTAGACTTCCGCGAAGACCAGGTACGTACTCTCACATCATATCCCTCATCTCTCTCTCTCTCTCTCTCTCTCTCTCTCTCTCTCTCTCTCTCTCTCTCTCTCTCTCTCTCTCTCTCTCTCTCTCTNCTCTCTCTCTCTCTCTCTCTCTCTCTCTCTCTCTCTCTCTCTCTCTCTCTCTCTCTCTCTCTCTCTCTCTCTCTCTCTCTCTCTCTCACCCTTGTCTTCTATGGCGCTGCCTCTCTGCAGCGCCCTACTCCTCCAGCCGCCCTCGCGCATCCAAGCACCTGCGTTAGCGCACAACCAGCAGCCGCGAGTGCTTGCTCCAGCAGCGCTGCTGCACGCACTACCAAGTGCCTGACTGCTTCTCTCTCGGCCTGGTGCAAGGAATGAGCCCTCACGGGGCCCTTATCAGACATACATGTGTTCTGAGCCACGGCCCTTAGCAAGCCTGTGCCCGCCCTAAGTGAAGCCAGGCCTGAATATCCACGTGAGGCCTGTTTTCGACATTTTTCCATATGTGGGGATTCAGACAGTTGCAGCACGCCAGTTGGTGACAGAGCAACATGAGCCTCCAGGCTCTTTCCAGAAGCAAGGGCTGCGCTGTACAGTGGAGCCCAGGGCTCAGGTGGTTGAGCCCTGGGCACACGCTGTGTGAGGCTGACACATGGCGGACTGGCCCCGAGCCAATGAGAGAGCAGCATTGCCGTCACACATGAGTCAAGAGCCAATGGGAATGCTGCGAACACTTGGAAGCTGCGTGGCTGCCCAAACGTGCCTAACTGCACGGGGCCCAGGCCAGTATCAGAAACTGGGCCTGGGCGCAGACACTTGGGGCCAGAGGCAAGCTACTGGGCCCTCACCCACACCTGGCCAGGCCAGCCAGGCGCGGGCACACTTAAAGGAAAGTGTCTGCCCCAGCACTGGGGTATTCTGGCCTGTGTAGGCATTTCGGCCACGCTGCTGCATTGCACTGCGAAGCTGCGCTATGTGGGCAGGCTGGAGCACGTGCAGGCGCTAAGAGGTGAGGGCACTGCGGCGGCAGTGGGCACACGACAGCCATAGCCGGCCCGAGCATGCGGGTGCGCAGAGGTGGTGATGGTGGTCTTCGGGTAGCAGGCGCATGAAGAAGAGGGGAGGCGAGGTGTTGAATGGAGGAGAGAGAGCAAGTACCTGGTGTATGCTGGCAGTCGGCATTGGAGATGACGTCAACGTACATTGGTCTTCAACGGCGATGTGATCTGGCTGCAAGAATGTAGACAGGCTAGATAGGCTGAGTAGAGTAGGCTGGGCGCCACGCCCCACACAGTAGGAGAGACAGTGGATGCTATGTTGGTGTGACCATAGTGTGGGGACATTGGCATCAGAGTTCATTGTATTGCTCTTATTGGAATGGTATCTTGGTGCATTGTGCTCTCTTCTTGGTATTCGACTGTCTGAGCGTCTTTGTGATTTTGCAACTTGGTTTCTGTCTATCGCTCCCGCTCATAATCCTTGCACTGGCTCTTTCCTAAATGGAAAGCAGCCAGGCTCTCGTGGCTTGGACTGGGCAGGGCGTGTGTGCCCTCTAGCTTGACGTTGGGCCAAAGTGTCTGCGCCCTGGCCCATTCACAGTGGCCTGGGACCGAATCGGTTAGGCATGCCCAATCACCCTGGTGCAAACGTGTGGTGTTCTCTGTTTTCTCCACTTTGCTGGAAGAGCCTAGAAAGCTCGCAAATATTTCTGATTCTCACGAGTAAGGCGGATGTAACCAACTGGCGCGTGGCAACTGCCTGGCGCCCACCAAAGCTTTGCAAAAATTGACAAACTCAGGCCTCATTGGAATTAGGGGGGGCACGTGCTTGCTGTAGAGTCTGATAGACACAGGCGATGAAATTTGTGAATTACCTGAGGCAGGCCAGGTTGATGGTGATTTCTCAAGGCCGTCGCCCTCTTCAAGAAAAAAAGAAAGAGAAGGAGAAAGAAGATAAAAAAGGGAGAGAGAAGGGAGAAAAAATATATGTTTTTGACTTTTGTTTAGTGGGGCACATCCCTGTCTGGATATCTGGACCACAGCTTCTTCGTCTCTATTCGTAAAAGGGTGACAGTCCTGGGATATAATTGTTTAACTGACCAGCCACAGGTAATTCAGAGTAGTGTTATTGGGAAAATTGAAAATTCAAAATTGCATATGTACCCCACTTAAAGATGGGAATACCCGATATACCCAGTCCCGGCGCCCAACTTGCATCTATACCAGGACCTTGTTCGACTTTGCATAGTACCCGACTTTTCCACTCTGCGAAATTGTAGGCATACCCAGTCCCTCAGGCCCTCGTTTCCCCCCCAGGACAACAAATTATGCCCATGCCCAGAAACGGGCTGGCAAAATTGCGGGTGAACCGACACCCAGGGGTGGGCCTTGGATGCCGAACCACTAAATTATGCTCATGCCCACCATGTGGACCGTTGTGGCCCAGCGGCCGGAGGGTATGAGCATAATTTCAGCCATCCAGTAGTAGGGTATATGAATAATTTGGGCGGCCCACGACAGTCCTGGGCATGTTATTGGATCTGTACCTCTGGGCCTCAGCCCTCCTCCGTGCAAGCATTGGCTCGAACCGACGACCTCAGCCTCAAGAGTCAAGTATGGTAACCACTACAGCCAGGAGACGGTGTTCAAAAGCGGAACCATACCGGCCGTGATATCCGCCCCGCCCCTGCCTGTAATTTTGCTTGGGTATGTCCATAATTTGTGCATTCCGGTAGTTGGTTATAACTGCAATTTTGCGGTACCAACCTACGCCCACCTCAGTCCTGGGCACGCAAATAATTTCCACTGACCGTTTTCTGGGTATAGGTGCAAGTTGCCACTGGGACGGGGGTTATAGCGAGTATTCCCATCTTTAAGTGGGGTGCAGATGCAAATTTACCTCTTTTATTTCATTCATCTCATGCCATCTGGATTCGAACTCGGGTCTGTATTTCGATGGTTCAAGGGTGTACCAACTGAGCTAGGCCCGCTGGTACGTATATGGCAATATGCTCTTCATAATCATAGCAGTGATTGTCGTTGCTGTGGTCATTGTACCATGTCTTCTTCATTCTAGTTTTTTGAACTTTTTTGTTTTGCTTCATTGAAGTTCATTCTTTGTTTGTTGCCGTGTCTTCGGACACATGGATTTTGGTAGCAAGTTACTTATTAGACTATACTAGTAGCATAAACATTTGCTGCGCTGATTTTTTTGTGACGTTCTCGCACTTGCCAATGCGCATGATTGGCTTGTGGACAGAAGTGGCGATCCTTTCTTTGTGTTGAACGGCGGCTTCATCAACAAGTGCCATCTGTGAAAGAAGCTCTACGAACTCCACCTGCATTTGGCACAGCTTTCAGTCCCGACTCCCGATGCAGCGATAAGGACCGGGCGTTTTATTCGGGTGAAGACGGTAGCCAATAAGGTAAGGGACAATGATTTTCTGGAATCCTTCGTGGGAGTGTGCACTTTTGTTCTTTGAAATCTGCAAAGCTAAAGGCCTCAAATGACTCACCAAATGTGCAACGTGGAGATCTTGTTCTTCCAGTAGAACGCTAGAAGATACACACCCTGCATAGTTTCTCTCTTTCACATGTTGTGAGTGGTGCGGTGAGACCCGCTACATGGATAGTCTGTATCGTTTTTGGAGTTTTCTCTCTCTCTCATCCACATTTTTTTGGCCGAGGAGGGGAGGAAGGAATAGGGTGGGAACCTGGATTGCACGCTGGACTACATTCACTGCGTTTTACAACGAACGGTAGCCATGAACACAGTCTGTTTTGTCTTGCATCTCCACAACCCTTCTCTTTGCGACCGTAGGAACCTGGATTGCCCGCTGGACTAGATTCGATGCATCAATAGGGCCCATTGGCATGTGCACATGAGGCCTGTTCGCAGGGACGGATTTCTTGGTTAAGTACGGTGAACTTCTCCGCATATAATATGTCGGTAGCACGCAGCAGCTTGCCACTGTGAAGGGTACAACCACGGAGGGAAGACGGGGAGAAGGAAGTGGGGTTGCACAAGCCCAGCGTGCGCTGGGGAGAAAAATAGACCGACGGACGGAACGACGCAAGGATGGATGCATGGACGGATGGGCGGTTGGCATTCCCAATACCATAATTCACCTTCCTTCCGCAGCTACGGCGTTGCTGCACTACTGACCAAGTCTGTTCAATGGGGAGCGTATTTTGCCCTTGCGTGTGGAAAACATACACCTGCTGTAGTTTTTGTGTTTTTTTACATTTGGTGCACGGTGTAGCGACGCCCACAGACGCACATGCATGGGGTATGTTCAGTCTTGCACATTTCCTCACTTCTCTGTCTGCGTTATTCTTTTTCCCCTTTTTCTCTCTTAATGTTGCGTTTGTCTATGTAGTCCACTTCTTTGTCTCCGTCATCCTTTTTTCCTTTTTCTCTCTTAATTTCGCGTTTGCCTATGTAGTCCATGTGCCGGCAGCACTGGATGACTTGAGAATGAATGGGCGATGAATTCAAAAGTGATTCCTTCTTTTTTTTTTTCTTTTTTTTTTTAAGTCTTATAGTACGTATACTAATCTGTGTTCGTACATACAGAAGAGTGTATGACCTACAGAACAGACCCTGTTCAAGTACAGTGATTCCAAATAACAAGCAAACACCTTTTCTGAAGGGTGTAGCCAGGGCCTTTCGTTTTGCATTTGATTACATCATGATTCGTACCCATGGCCTGTTTATTAGCAGGCGGACGTGCGTTGCATTACGCCTCTCGGGTACACTCCCACCTAACAGACTCTAACGGGAGACTAACGTGAACAAAACTGAGGAGGATTGTGACCCGTCGTAACCTTTTGCAAATTTGCCCTTTTTAGCACTAGCAATCGTTACCCTTCGGAGGATTGTGACCCGTCGTAACTTCTTGCAAATTTGCCCTTTTTTCCTTTTTTGCTGATTTAGCTTTTCTTTTTGGACTTTCTCAATTTTGCAAGGACACCTTGAACTGACATGGGAAATTCCTGTTTTGCCCTGCATTTCAACGCCTTCCCCAAAATCACCGGCCATGCCCCTACTCCCTCCCGTCTGCGTAACTCCGCAAGGGTACTGAGCGCTGCACGGGGTGTGTAGTTGTCCATCACAAGCACTCCACATGCCAACCAATCGCTGGTCGCCAGAAAACTGTTTTCTTTCGGCTGGCCAGAGAGAGTCGTGACCAACGCCCAGAGAATATGTCGACGGGGGCGCAGGGCCATCAAGTGATGGGAGAGCAAAGGCATTGTAAGCAGACGGGATGGGAAATTCATTGACTTGCGGATGCGGTCCCGGGCAGAAGGTATTCAGTAGAATGGACGAAGTCCAAGCAGCCAGGCGGGAGTAACGGGATCATTAACAGGAGAATCTATAGGAAGTGCTTGTGCAAACTGAAATGCGAATTCATCTCCATGCATTGATTCAACATTCACTCGGGGACTAAATCAAGAAAGAAGAGGAGAAGCGGGAAAGAGCGGGAAGAGCAGGAAGAGCGGGAAGAGCGGGAAGAGCGGGAAGAGCGCGAAGAGCGCGAAGAGCGGGAAGAGAGAGGAGCGCAAGTACAGGAAAGCAAAGTATGGATGGGAGCTGTGAAGGGAAAGCACAAAACACGGCCACAATCGGTGGAATGTGGGAAGGCCGAGAAGAAGATGGTATATGCCATATGAAGAGTTGAAGAGAAGCTTGTGATGCATCGCAAGCTTCTAGTGAGTGTGCATGGCGCGGTGGACTAGCTTGTGACAGTTCAAGAAGGGAGGGGGGCGAGCGCGCAATTTCAAAGGAGAGATTTGCACCAAGAATTCAAATTGCCAATCTATGCTGCAGGGCTTTGATTACACGGAACTCCACCGTGGATTGCACATTCGAGACTTGTTGGACTGTCTTCGCTGCAGTTTTTCAGCGCTTTGATTGCTTGTACTTCGTGAGTGAGCGATGCCAGTCGCAGTCAGTGTGATAAGCTACTAAGCCATGCTGCAGCACACATGATTTATCAGGACAACAATACAAAGATGTTGCTACGCTGAACAAGATTGAAATTGAAACCGAAGTACAATCCCCCCGAAAACGTGCAGCCGGGGAAAAAGGGGTGTGCAGGCATCTGTGCTCCACGAGCGAACTGGTCCGCATTTTTGAGGCGTGAAAGAAGGATTGAGAGTCATCGTAAAATCGAACGGACTCGTCCGCGTTTTTGTGGCAAAGACGACATCGAGAGTAGTGTGGGCACCGGGCAAAGACGGCATCGAGAGTAGTGTGGGCACCGGGCAAAGACGGCATAGAGAGTAGTGTGGGCACAAGGCATCTGTGCTCTACAAGTGGACGGGTCCCCTTTTTTGAGGTGTGAAAGAAGGATCGAGAGTCATCGTAAATCGACGGGACTAGTCCACATTTTTGTGGCATGAATGAGGACGTCAAGAGTAGCATGGGCACCTATGAGGACGTCGTTAATATTCGTGAGATTACAGAAGTACTATCTGCTGTTGTCTGCGAGGACATCACCTACTGTGAGAAGTCCACAGAGAAAAAAAAAATGCGGCAAAGATGGGTGGCAGCTACACTCTGCTGGCGAGTGCACTAAGTTTTTCGAACACCTGACCTTCAGTTCGACAACGGACTGCAGCGTCATCTTCTGAAGAGTGTAATTTTTAGTTGGACCTGCATTCAGTTTCCGTGGGGCTGCTTCAGTCGTAGTGGAGACCGGGAATTAGAGAGAGAGAGAGAGAGAGAGAGAGAGAGAGAGAGAGAGAGAGAGAGAGAGAGAGAGAGAGAGAGAGAGAGAGTTGAGATTAGGGACTGTGACAAT